ATAATTTAGTATTGTCATGTTCATTTTAGTCCCTCTTGTTTACAGCTACCCCCTTGACACTATCACTTCCATCTATTTTCCTTACCAAAAATCTGCTCATCCAAGATAAACAAACCTACCGTTTGTTATAATCAGAAAGTTTTATAACTAAAACAGAAGCTGACTTAACAGTCCGTGTCTCTTCAGAAAGGCAAGAACATGTCAATACTAAATTATTTCTGAAGATAAAGAGTAACTATCCACTTTGTACCTTTCTATTTTCCATAACTCGCCCTTCCTTTTCTCCACACTGCCCACATACGCAGCCACGTAAGATGTCACATGAAAGTTATAGGCACAGAGCAGGTGAGCAAAAGGGCTCTCCTGTGGGCTCCGGTCCCCTCCCCCACACGCACAGGCTCTGTGGCAGAAATTAGAAGTACCTTGGGTTGTGGTTTGGCTCCTTTTCTTCTTTTAGAGGAGGCAAACATTCGCTGTTGGCTAGGACAGAAGGAAAGCAAACGCGGCGTTAGTCACTGCAGCGCCGTTTTCCATCCACAAGGCTCACGGTTCAACACCCCACTCCCCCAGCCTGCGGGTCGCCCGTGCAGAGCCGGCCTCACCGGGGGCTGCAGAGGGCAAGAGGCTGGCGGCCGCAAGGCTCCTGAAACGCACAAAGCTCTAAGAGCGCGGACGCCAGGCTCCAACGGGCTTCTGGCCCTGCTGGAAAGGGCACAATTCATCACGCTTGGTCATTCAGTCCCTGAAGAACCCCGCTGTGACCCCAAAAGCCCGAATCTGCAAGAATCTGGAATAAAACGGCTTCACCTGAGCGCCTGAGGGGCCAGCAGGGTGATTGCAGTCAGGGCGCACCATCGAAAAGCTGGGAAAGGAGGGAGCAACTAACCCCCTGTGGTCATCAGAGTTCTCTCCTGTTACACCACTGCTGTTTCTAAGGAAAATAAAGACTATTGGATCTATCACCTATGTATCAAAATAACTCTGCTTTTGTTAAAGTCCAACAGAAAGGCCTTTCCACCATGTTAGGCTTTTAGTGAGTGTAACAGGATCATGATTTTGTATTAAAATGATCTCAGGAACAAAAGGAAATACACCAACATTGTAAGAGAGGTCATCTTTGAGTGGTGGAATTCTTTTTCTTTCTACTTTTTTTAATTTTCCAAATTCTATTGTGTTATGTATATTACTTTTATGAACTAAAAACAACAAAATGAGCCTACTTTTAAGGGTTATCTCAATGATGAACTCCTTTCCTCAAAAGCTTTCCAGAGCCATTCTGCCCTCAGTATTGGACTATGAAAAACTGTTCAGAATTGTACAAGTTAGTTGAGTGGTTCTAATCTTTTGGAAAACTCATCTTGATAAGTCTCTGGTACAATAATTCTAATAACAAATCTTTGAATTAGAGAAACTCCATTGTAGGTTGTTGAATCTGACAGACCCCAGGTTAATTTTGTTGCTGTTGTTGTTGTTAATCTTCATCTGAGGATTTTTAGGGAAAGTCAAAGGGAGGGAGTGGAAGAGAGAGAAAAAGAGAGAGAGAAAATCAATGTGAGAGAAACACATGGATTGGTTGCCTCCTGCACGCTCCCCGACTGGGGCCAGTGATTGAGCCTGCAACCCAGGTATATATGCCCTTGACCAGGAATCAAACCCAAGACAGGGGCTGACACTCTAAGCACTGAGCCACACCAGCCAGGACACCCAGGGTATTTTTTAAGATAAATGTTAAAAATACAAATGATCTGACAGTATAAATAATAGATTTTATTAATTTAATCTGAGCATTAAAAATAATTTATTGATTCTTAAAGAAATCAGAAAAAGAAAAAAATAGCTGTCATTCCTTTAAATCCAAATATTAATTTAGTGAAAAGTAAGGAACATATACTATAATTCCTGCCAGATATCAATTGGAAGCTAAGTTAATGGGAATATTTATATTACTATCTATATTAGCTCTGTCCAATAGCTTTTTCTATAGTGATGGAAATGTTCTAGATTTGCACTACCTCATAAAGTAGCCACAAGTGGCTACTGAGCAATCAAAATGTGACTAGAGTGACTGAGGAACAATATTTAAAATTTTACTTTTAAAAATCTAACTTAAATAGCCACATATGGCTAGTGTCTGTTATATTGGACAACACCAATCTATGTCAACTATATTGGATAAAGTTTATAACTATATGCAGATTAAAATCATAAATCTCTAAATATAAAGTGATGCCAGATGCTAACTTTTTCCGGATAATTTGGACTCAGATTTCCTTGCTTGAAAAAGCACTTTCATTTCGAAAAGACCATTAGAAAAACCTATAAAAAAATAAAAACAAGCTGCGGCGATGTGATTAGACTGAATTCTTAAAGACGGTCAGACCCAAGTGCATTATCTGCATGCACCAGAGGTTATGTGAACTGGGCTCACACTGTCCCACTCCAGGATTTATGGGGTATTTATAAAGCGGTTGCAGCCTTCTCTTACTAGAGAGGACAGAAAAAACAAGGTTACCACATACCATTTCTATGCATGTTCATCCACTTATCAAGCTCTTCCATCTCTATTTCCATAACAGAGGGTGTGTCTTCCTCAAAAATAGGGCTAGAAAGAGAGCAAAGAGCTTGTTGAAAGAAAAAAATAAAAGTGCGGTGTGCCTTTTGAATTTCTGTGGGAGCCTAGAATGTTGGCTGTGAGGAAGATGGACTTGATTCAGTGTCTTACACTCCAGGGTAGACTGAGCATGTGCCCTATTCAAGTGTACCAAACTCATAGGGAGAAAACCAAAAACCAGCCTTGACCTACCACTGATCCAAAAATGGAGGGCGTATAACCCAGCTCTGGGGCTGAAAGGGAACCAGGAGGCTGCTCCCCTGAAGGTACAGAGTCAAGGCCACAAGGCTTCCCCTGTGAGGCTCCTCCAGGGAGTTGCCACATTTAGCATTTTCACCTTGCTGAATTTCACTTCCCTTTCTTTGGTGTTTTTGATCAGTGCCCCCAAGTCAAGAGGCCACAGCTAACAAACTGCTCGCATCACCTCTCCCTTCAATTCCCATGCTTTTCTGTCTTGGAGAAAGGGAGCCGTTGCTTTCAGAAATCCACTGCCCTCATGTGCCAGGGTTCAGAGCATCCAGTTTGGGGAAAGAGGCCCCTAGTTAATGGAGGTGGGGCTGGAAAGGGGGGCCACCAGCACCAGCTCTGAGCAGCTGTGAAGGTGTTACACCTTGTATAGGAAGTGAGCAGTGTCTGAGTAAGGCTGCTGGGGGTGGGGTG